ATTTGCATTGTCATGCGTGTCTCATTTTGCATTGTCATGCATTTCAAGAGACGTGCGTTGTCACGCATTTTGAATTCATTTGCATTGTCGTGCATCCCAATAGTATGCATTGTCATGCATTTCAATAAGTCATGCATTGTCATACACTTCACTTACACACATTGTCATGCATCTTTGTCGTACATTTCAATTACATGCTTTGTCATGCATTCTCGTTCATGCATTGTCATGCGTGTCTCATTTCGCATTGTCATGCATTTCAATTACATGCATTGTCATGTATTTCTCTCATCGTGCATTGTTATGCACACCGCATTTGCATTGTCATGCATTTCCTTATCATACATTGTCATGCATCTCCTTACTTTGCATTGTTATGCATTTCAGTACATGCATTATCATGCATTCCCTTATCACGCCTTGTCACGCATTCCCTTATCATGCATTGTCATACATTTTGGTACATGCATTGTCATACATTTCCCTACTTTGCATTGTCATGCATTTCAGTATATGCATTGTCATGCATTTTCCTACCTCACATTGTTATACACGTTTTATTTGCATTGTTCCTGCTATACACATTGTATGCGTTTTCGCATGTACTTTACTTACATGTGTATATCTAGCTTGCTTTACACATTGAATGCGTTTCCGCGTGTGCTTTACTTATATGTGTTTATGCATCCCGCCCAGGTGGTTATACATTGTATGCGTTTTCACGTGTACTTTACTTATATGTGTTCATACCTTGCTTGCTTTACACATTGCATGCGTTGTCACGCTATGCTTTACTTATACGTGTTCAAGTTCCTATACACATTGCATGCGTTGTCGCGTTATGCTTCACTTATATGTGTTCGAGGTCCTATACACATTCCATGCGTTGTCGCGCTATGCTTTACTTATATGTGTTCAATTTCCTATACACAATGCATGCGTTGTCGCGTTGTGCTTTACTTATATGTCTTCAAGTTCCTTACACATTGCATGCGTTGTCGCGTTATGCTTTACTTATATATGTTCAAGTTCCTATACACATTGCATGCGTTGTCGCGTTATGCTTTACTTATATGTGTTCAAGTTCCTATACACATTGCATGCGTTGTCGTGTCGTGCTTTACTTATATGTGTTCAAGTTCCTATACACATTACATGCATTGTCGCGTTATACTTTACTTATATGTGTTCGAGTTCCTATACACATTGCATGCGTTGTCGCGTCATGCTTTACTTATATGTGTTCAAGTTCCTATACACATTGCATGCGTTGTCGGTTTATGCTTTACTTATATGTGTTCAAGTTCCTATATACATTGCATGCATTGTCGCGTCGTGCTTTACTTATATATGTTCAAGTTCCTATACACATTGCATGTGTTGTCGCGCTATGCTTTACTTATATGTGTTCGAGTTCCTATACACATTGCATGCGTTGTCGCACTATGCTTTACTTATATGTGTTTGAGTTCCTATACACATTGCATGCGTTGTCGCGTTGTGCTTTACTTATATGTGTTCAAGTTCCTTAATTTTCACACATTGTAAATGTCGTCGCATGTGCTTTACTTACATGCGTACATTTCATTCCTGCCATGCACATTGCGTACGTTTCCACGTATGCTTTACTTACATGTGTACATTTCAAGTTCCTCATCATACACATTGCGTACATTTCCACATATGCTTTACTTACATGTGTACATTTCAAGTTCCTCATCATACACATTGCGTACGTTTCCACGTATGCTTGACTTACATGTGTACATTTCAAGTTCCTCATTATACACATTGCATGTGTTGTCGTGTATTGGAAAAACTGTTATTGGAAAAACTTCTAGGTGTTGTTCTAAAACTAGCATTAGAAGACATACTTCTGGTAAGCAAAGGTTTCTGAAATTGAAGGTAAACATTACCTTCGTGGGTTTAAATAACATCATCGATGTTATGTTGGATAAGCGGTTTGGGAGGAACAGCATTAGGAATTTCCCATCTTGTGGGAAATGTTATATTCTTCCACGGGATTAACTTAGGTACAGCTACTTGACTACTGTAAAGATTTGTTTCAATCAATACTGTTTGTCCAGTTTCAGTTTTCTTTTTGACATAAGGATTTAAGGTTGTTAAAGCCTTTATGCAAATTTGGGAATGGACTGAAAAGGGGGGAGTTCCTGGTTTATGCTCATAACCATGAGTAAGAACTCTTAATTCTAACACATCGGATAAATTAGTGTCACACAAAGCAACACTCAGATTCAGATAGATATCAAAATATACTGGTCCATGAGACAAACTAGTCTCAATAGCGCCCATAATGGATGCTCGCCAGTTAAGACATCGGCCATCCCTAAGGGTGCACTGAATACTGGTATTTTGACCAAGAAGGGTCAAAGGTTTAAAAGCAATTTGTACTAATCCTATGTGAATGTACTTATACTGTTTTAAAAATGGAACAAAATCATTTATGTGAATTAACCTGATTATTTCATCATTATTCTGGATACAAGACGCATGTTCAAAGGTCTTGATGATAGTTTTACTCAGAAATTGGAAACGTCCTTTTCTGTAAATGGTGTGTGGATCTACAGAGGGGATAGTCCACTTATCTAAGGCTTCCTTTACATCCTGGTAGGCTACTAACTCAGCTGCTTCGGCTAAAGAGGAAATGGTATTTCCTATGGAGATTACTGATCCTGCTTCTGGTATTTCTACTGTATTTTCTTGTTGATCTGTCATGGCTGTATTGTGATCATATATGTCTAATTTATTTAATTTATATTTTTATTATGTGATAACTAAAACTTGGCTCTGATACCATGATAGGTGCTCACTAAAGGTAAGGCTAGCACGTCTGTCAACGACTTACGGGCATCAAACGGTCAACGCACTCTCTGCAACACAACCTAAACCCTACGCAACTTGGGTGACGTCCCACTAACCCTAACATTTAATTAACCTTACAAAAGCACAAACCCAAGAATTAATACACACATAATAATAACATAAATAAAACAAATTAGGACATATATGATCTCATAATTACCTTACTGTTGGGGTGGCGGAGGCCTTCTGGCCGCCCACGCCACTAGCTGTTCGTTGATCAGCACCTGGATCTCCTGTAGATACTGTTCACAGGTTCCTAACCGCTCAGTCATGTACTGTTGGGTATAACGGCCTACGGGTAAGCTAAGATAATAATTTTTCTGTTGTTGCCAGAATCTCTGGGCAGATAATAAGGACTCAAGAAGATCAACAGAGGGCATACATATTTAAACACGAGTAGCAAATTTTATTGAAGAAGTAAAAATTTTACAAGAAGGGTTTGGAGAAAGATTACAAAGGAGAGAAAAACTTAAAAATTCTAAAAATTCTAAGTACCTCAACATGGGTGAGGACATCCCTTAAATAGAACGAAAAGAAGATAAGAAATTATTACATAAAGACAGGTGGCTCTCTTCGATTGCACCGACAGATTACACCTATCTACTTATCTTCAAAATCTTCAACTTTGGCTGGATGGGGAACAACTTTTCCCTTGAGTCTGATGGAGCATCTTGCTTTTGCAAAAGTCTCTTATCCTGTTGTACCGACGCTTACTGTTCTGGGCCCTTGCCTTTACTGCTTTTGTCTCGAGCCATCTTTTCCGCAATCACAGCTGTTAGGGAATCCCAGAAATCGCCAAGGTTGGGCTCCACATCATCTTCGGGTTGTGACTCACCAGCTAACACGTGGTCGGTTGGATCTGTCTCTGGTTCTGATGGAGTCTGACTGGTACCTGACCTCATTGAGACGTCATCTTTAGGATTAACGGATTGAAGAAATTGTTCTTTCAGATAATCCATACTTTTGACAATTAATTCATTATCTGAAAGGTGAGGGTATTTCTGTTTTAACTCCTTCTGGATTTGTACAAAAGGATTACTAACTGGTGAAGAAGAAGGTGCTGGTAAGGCTGGTTGTTTGACTGAATCCCAGCAAGCCTTGGTGTGCTGTTGAATTTTCGGAAGAAGATCCTTAAGATCCATCTTATCCCACCATTTCACAAAAAAGATTCTTTTGAGACGAGGGACCTTATTCTGATAGTCGCATGCAAAATCCCATTTCCAAATCCATGGGATACTAAAACGGATTGAAAAATGAACAATTGATTTACTGATTGATAATTCTCTGTTTTTATTCAAAAATGCATAAGCACGGGAATAAGCCACATGCCAATCATTAAATTCTGTTCTTACGAAATCTGGTAAAATATCGAGGGAAAGTCCGAACTTATCCCACCAAATGAGGAACCAATTGAGAACATTATTTTTGAGAACATCGGACTGAAGGCAGATAAACCAAGAGTGGTTTTTAATTGGATTCTGGTAGTAAAACACCTGGGTAAAGGCGTCAATATAATCCCAGTATGAATACTTAGTCTGTTTATTGCGGAGATCAAGATCCCGAGTGGTGTGCGGATGGATGCCCCACGTAGAAATGGGCATGATATTACGGATGGTGATTTTACTGTATTGAATCGGACTGGCAGCTTTATTAACATCATGCAAAGTGTGTTTAATCTCGGCTGCTCCTGTTTCAATGAGTATCTGTTCATAGATATACCTGTACTGGTCAAAATGGGGAGGTGACTGTTGAGTGGTGAGATAACGGCATTTTATCTCCCACGGATCTGTCATCCACTGTTCATCGGAAGGTTCAATCCAAAGAACAGTTTCGTCAATAATACTGTTAGGAGTATACGGATCTTCAGGCCTCAGGAGAATATCCTTTGCCGTTGGGTTACTGGTTTGACCACCGCCTCGAGAGAGAGGTGGATATTCTGATGGATCATAGCGAGGGTTAGAACCCCGGCCACGACCTCGACCACGATGGCCTCTACTGGTCATTTGCTGATTTCTGCAAATACTCACGGGTCAAAAAGTCAGGCAAAGAATTAGTTTCTCCTTTAATATATTCAATATCAAAGTCAAAATTAGATAAATAACTTTGCCAGCTTAAGAATATCTGTTTAGAAGCAAGGTTTTTAACATCCTGCTTAAATATCTGTTTAGCAGCAGAGCAATCTACTCTGATGAGAAAATGCTGGTTTAAAAGATCATCCTGGAATTTAATAACACATTTAACAATGGCTAAACATTCCTGTTTAATGGTCGGATAATTTAAAGCAGCTTGATTCCAATGCCCATAATGAAAACGTAAAAGTTCTTCTTTCTGAGTTTTGGGATTAAACTGTTTTAAAATACCACCAAATCCTTCATTAGAAGCATCTGTTTCAACAATTTTCTTCCATTCAGGATTAGGTAAATGAAGACAAGGTAACTGTTGGACTTTAGCCTTAATTTTCTGAACAGCTAAAGTATGTTCTGGTGACCATGGTGGAGGATTCTTTCTTAACCTGGTATACAAGATGTTAGCATCTGTTTTGTAATAACCGAATGGATTGTATAGACTGATGTTTACTGTACTGTCATGTAAGGGATGGAGTCCCTTGTCTGAATGATTGTATATATTGTGCATACTGCTCTGTACTGATTATGTATATATGTATGGAAAGTCTTTTTGCATACAGACTGTCACAGCTCATTGGGCATTGTTTAATTACTGTATTGGCTTCTGCCAGGCCCTGTACTCTGTTTTACTGTACTACTGTTAAGTAGGCCTTCGGTAATCTCGGATTACTGGCCGGTTACGGTGCTAAACCCATAGGGCCGGGTTTGGGTCGTGACAACAACTTTCTACGCTCATGTAAGACACAAACTCAGAGGGATCGCTCGAGTGAAAATTCCTTTGCTCGAGTGTAAAATGACAAGTCTTAAAAGCTTTTCAAAGCTACAATGAAATAACTGGAAGCCAATATTCTCCGCTCGAGCGCAACTTCCTGCGCTCGAGCGATTAGCCTACAAACTCGTGAGATTCTGAGAGCTGCAATTCTCCACTTGAGCATAACTTTATTTGCTCGAGTGGGCGCCTGGAACAAAGTGTCACAATCAAATTGTCAAAAACAAGGTAATTTTGGTCGCTTGAACGGACCCCTTGGTCTGCAAAACTTCTGGGAGCTCTCATTTTGCGCTCGAGCGCAACTTCCTTCGCTTGAGCTGAGGTCCAAAACAAAGGATAGTTGCTCAAGTGCAAGTTATGTTGCTCAAGCCAACCCCAAACTCTATAAAAGTACTGGGAGCTCTCATTCTTTGCTCGAGCGCAACTCTCATTGCTCGAGCGAAGAGTGCAAATTCTGAAATTTTTAGATTGCTCTCTAAGCTCCAAGACTCAAATTCAAAGCTTCAAAACACATCATTTGGGCCCAAAACTTGAGAAGACATGTAGAAAATCATAAAGCTTCATGGATTACAAATCATTTTGCAAAATCAAGGCCTAAAAGCATGCCAATTGTATATAATTAAACTTAAAATGTATATATATAACATGCATGTAATCATTTGAATTCAAAGCTTCCAAATCGTGATCAAAGGAGATAAATTGATGTAAAACATGATGAATTTCCAAAATTAAGTCAAAACAGTGACATGCATGAGATAATTCTTTCAAATCAAACTCAAAATGTAAGGCAATATGCATGCATGCATGGTATGACTTAAAATTTTCAATTCTAGCTCAATTCTTGTATTAACCACCTAACTCACTTGAGTTCATACTCTTATTGACTCATACACTTAGCTTATGGGTTGAATTCTTACCGTAGTACTTCAATTGGGCTCTAGATGACTAGTTCTTAGAGTCTCCAAGCTAATTCTTCTAAAAGTTCTCTCAATTCTCTACAATTCCCTTCCTTAAGCTTGAATTCACTCTCTTTCTAGGCTTCTTCCTCTCCCTCACGTTTTTGTCTCCACAAGATGAGAGATGAAAGTGTATAGAATGGTCTTAAGTCAACAATTTGCC